CAGGAAACTTAAACTTCCTGGTAAGAGCTGCTGTGTTTCTTCCTTGGAGACATTTGCGTCATGAGATATTGTATCATGTAGTTAATGAAATAGTGATGTCGTGCTGCGAAACTGAAATAAGTAACAAACAGCAGTTATGTAATATTACTTTTAAAATGACATGCCATTTTCAGACAAAATCACAGGTGAAGTATTCAAGAACCTCTGTATTCTATATCCATATGCACAGTGTTTGGGGAAGGTAGACTAGATTGATCAAGACTTGAGAAGGTACAGTTTAAAAAAAAAAAGGTTCCCAGAAATAGTAGGAAAAGCAGGCCAAGATGACTGCAAACCTTGAGGCTTTTTAAATAAAATGGTGCTTGTGGTTTTTATTTGAGTGTTTCCCCTCTTGTAGAGGTGTGCGGTTTGGTCTGTTGTTTGGGGTTTTTTTCTTTTTTTAATTTGTGGTGTTTGTTTCTTAAAACATGTCAAGGTGTGCAGCAATTCATTCTGTTAAAAACTTTCAATTCCAGATGGTTTTGCTGCCTGGACTACACTACACTCATCTCAAACCTTGAACTTGTTTATCAGGCTTTTAGGCACCAGCAGAACAACATAAAGAACTTGCAGGATTCCTGCCTGTTTCGCACTTTTCTTCCAGGTTGTTCCCCACGTGGAGAGGTCATTTATTTTAAATTTGACTTGTAAGTCCTGTTAACATCCAAACAGATCATTGAAGGATCCGGTTTCCATGGAAAGTTGGCTCAATACTTGCTTGTAATATCTGTAACCCTTCTGAGGTTTCCATCACTTTTAAAGGCAGAGCTACAGGCTTCCAATTAAATGTATGAGAAAAACATATTTTTATTTGCTGTGGTGCATATTAATGAACTCTTCTTTTTAAGTACATATGTATACCTGATTTTTTGAAAGACTTTTATGCCCTATTGACTACCAGCTCAGGAAATAGTAATCAATATGGCTTCGTTTTGTTTGTACAGATCTGAAAAGGAATGATTACACACCTGACAAGATCATATTTCCTCAGGATGATTCCCCTGAATTGACAATTCAGCCTGGAAGCTGCACCAAAGAATCTGATTCTGCTAATTCTATTCGTCTGATGCTCTAATGACGTGACCAAATCTCAGTGGCTTCACCCAAACTTCATGGAATGTCACAAAGTTGTCACTTACTCTTCCTTCAGCATAATGAACAGAAAGATATATCAAAACAAGGATTGCTGTCTTACAAATGGAATTTTGGCTGGTCCATAATGTAAGGACCTCACAACTTGTGGTGATAACTATCTGCGGAGAACAGCTTTGTGGCTGATCGTTTTAAAGGTGGAATAATGACAAGTATTTAAGATGTGTTTTTAACGGGGCTTTTTAGCAGAAGGATTATTTTTTACTTTATTTTGGGTTAGTGGAGGATTTTCTTCTCTCTGTAGTCCTGTGGTGTGCAATATGCCTTCAACCAAAAGGATTTTGGTAGTTGATGTTTAAGGTGAAGCGTTTGCCTGTTTGGCAGCTGTCTTGCTGTCAATCAGCAGAAGACAGGAGAAAGCACCTACCTCTGTAATGCCAGAGTATTCTTTGAGCGGTTTCGGAAGTGTTCAACTAATGTTTCTCACCAGATGTCTTTTTAATCTGGCCTTTTGAAGAGGACAGAGCCAGATGAGATATATATGTGATGCCAGTAGGCTGAGGTTGAAGGTAGGAACTTGATCTGTTCCAATATAGAGAGTGTCCTGAATCAGCATTCAGCTTCATGGCTGTAAAGCTTTTTTTTTTTTTTCTTTTCTTTTTTTTCTGTGGAATAGAGCCCTAATTGTGCATAATGAAATCTCTTGTTTTATACATTTCAGTTTTATCAAGTCACCGTCAAATAGTAACAAAGCCATGATAGAGACTGGTATAATCATATTTAATAGAAGAAATAGTACGTACTGGTCCAAATAAGTTGCCTTGTAAGAACACAAGTTGGAAGTGCTTTTCCTCGTATGTAGTGACTGCTTCAGAAGTTACGCCTTCCAAAGATCTTGTAAAACCAGTATATCAAAACCGAATGTACACATAACTTTTAAATGTATTTAAAATTGTGTAGAAAACATCTTTAATGTTATGTTATTTGTGGTACTTATTTAAGAGAGTCTAGGGTTGGATTAGCATTATGTAAAGTACGGGAGATTGCAATGCACCTTCATGCCAATAAAATGTAACTTAACTGTCCCAAATATTGTTGAGCATTCAGCAAGAAAAAACCTGTTGTCCAACTGAAGTTTCATGCTGCGATTATTTTTTTCTTTTTGTTTGTTTGTTTGTTATATAGGTACTAATTTGTAATTTTTAATTAAAAGGGCAGTATATAGCTCTATAATTTTTTTTTATTCAGTAGTGTATCTTATAGATACAGACCTAAGGCACGAACACAATAGCTGTTTCAATGGTGTTTTATGTTTGATGGGGAAAGGTAAAATGTTATAAGGATATAATACTGTATACATTTTGTATATCATTAAATCTTTAAAGAATCTAAAATAAATTTATTCTTGTTTACAGAATTCTGCTGTCCATCTTAGTCTGAGCAGTTATTTGCGTGAATTTAAGTAATTCTTTATGCCAAAAAGTAGAATTTGCTGTGCCGGATCAGAGCAGTTGCCTGCCTTTGACTCAACCAGGAACTGGGGGATAAAAAAAGTGAAAACTCTTGTAATAGGCAAAAATACATGATGAGGTTAATGGGTAAATGAGACAGAGACATCTCGAAGCCCTTTACAATGTTTGTTTTGAATTACAAACTGCATCCCCTTCTGTTACTATGAGGTCATGAGATGAGCAGTTACTCCAGATGCACTTGGATCTTTCAGTCCTACATTCTAAGCCAAGTGACAGCGACGGTTACTCGGTAGGTGGGGCTGGCTCTTCACGCTGAGCAAGATTCCTAGAAGGGCCTCAGGTGTTGCAAAGATGTGGCCACGTTCAGTGTGTGAAACAGGCAAACTGTTCTGGAGAAATTTTAAGTAAAAGTTGGGAAACGTTTTGTTTCCTAACAAATACACAACAACGCGAATTTAATCTTTGCAGCCCTGATACCTGCCTTCAGTAATTTTACTTGTCACTCAGTTCTTAACAAAACTAAGATGTGACTTGTGTGATGGGGGTGTGTGACGGTGGGGCGTGTTCCCTTTGCTCAGTGTTGTAGGGATGGGGGCCTGGAGCCTTTCCTAGGCCAAAAGGGACAAAGAGGGCTGGGGAATGCGTGTAAGACGCGGCGTGATTAACACTGCACATGTGTCAGCCCATCCGCCTGGCGTGAGTGCTAAGCACCCTCTGGGAGGCTTACGGCTAGAATTATGTGAGAAATTACGAGAAGCGTATGTCTAAGTTGAGGGGAGGAATTAACAGCTTTCACAAATTATCTTCTTTATACTATGAGAAACGAAATCATAAATGTGAGCATCCCTTGAGGAAGACATTGGAAAAGTGTGGTGGCAAAGAAAAAAACCCCCAGTTGGTTTGAAGTAGCCTGTTAGGGTAAGACCAGGACCTATTGATGTTGGGCTGTAGGAACATGGAGATTATCCCATGTAATTTATTTGATTGAGAAAATAAGTACCACTCTTCTGCTGAAACTTTATCCATCTTGAAGTGCTTTTTGAATAGAGAAGTGTTCTGATCCTTTAGCATTTAAATTTCCCTTAGATTACTTAAGAGGAGGGAAACAGAAACAGCACTGGAGCTTCTGTTAAATATTCAAAAACAATGTATCAGCATCTTGTTAGAACCTAATTTTTAAACATGGGAATATAATTCAAACCTTCTCTAATTACTTTTAGTGAAAATATAAAATGCTTCAGTGACTTTCCTAGTAAGAGAGTATTTAAAGAATGTCTCTTATATAGGGGAATAGGTAAGCTATGTTATTTTCCTTGTCAGATAGCAGCAGGGAATCAGAACTATCCTCAGGATATTTTCAGAAGAAAAACCATCGAGTAACAGATTAAAGTGAATTTTATGTGCTTTTACGTTAATGTTGGTTGCTTACGTAACTTCTGTTTTAAAATGCCCTTTAATTTCCTCCAGCGTCAGTATTTCTATATGCGAAAACCTCAAACACACACATGTGCTCGTTTAATCTTTTAATTAATCCAGCAAATTCAGCATTGTTGACCACTTGTAGTAGTTAGGTGCTGAAAAGTGAAAACCAATCCCAAATTCATTGTGGCAAAATATGCAAAGGTGAGTCTCCTGGGGAGCTGGATTCCTCGCTGCTGCTCCACAACCGTGTGATTCAGAAAAGGAGGGATTTGGTTTTCAGCCTGTGGCAGTGATTTCCTGCACTTTAATTCTTCATGGTTGCATCTCACTTAATGTCATAACGCTTAAATGCTGCAGGAATTTGGAGCAGGGGAGAGGAGTACAGTGGGAAGCTTGGTAGTAGGAGTTCATGTTGCATATTCCTAAAAGATCAGTTGGAAAAAAAACCCAAGCATCTTTGAAGTACAACAATGCTTCTGAAAATGCTTTTAATAATTTCATCTTTCTTCTTTCGGTTAATACTTTTCCATGCAAGTAATCCATTTGGGGGTGAGAAGAGTGGTAAAATAATTTTCAGCCTCTGAGCTTGCAGTAGGGGCAGCACTAATTTGGATTTGTGTATTGCGTTATGTTAAAATACTAAATCAAGGTCTTGGTTCAGATTCCACAAACAGTAGGAATGAGCATATGCTTTTGCCTTCTCAAATGATCAATGTTGGCGCTGCTGATCTCAGTACTAAGAGAAAGTACAATATTACAGTTCCATTTACAAAAATCTAGATCAGATTCTGAATAGTAGCGGGGATGGGGGATCATTGCTTTTGTATCTCCGTTTGCAGATAGGCGCTTTGGGAGGGTAATAGCAGTGACAGGAGGCCACGTGTCCGAACAGCACTGGGAGATCCTCTGCTCAAAGCTCAACAAGGAAAATAGTCAGGGTTTTCTTTTTTTTCTTTGTTTGTTTGGGGTTTTTTTTAATGGCTTTCTGGGCCTCTTCTGTGGACACTTGATACATCCCAAATTCTATGTTAAATAGGGAAGACGCACTGCTCTCCAGTGGTGTGTGAAATTCAGAGATCAACTACTCTGTCTCATTACCTGATTAAAAGACACTTCTCTGCCTTTACCCTTTTTTCCTCAGGAAGATGTTCTAAACACCAATATGCTTTGAGCTAGTTCCATCATTTTATGGTCAGTACCCTTGGCCGTTGCTGCCCATCTGTCAGAGCGTGGCAGTAGCGAACACTAATACAGGTATGAGCAAACGTCAGTAAACGTGGGTGAGGCTGAAACTCTTTTTGGTCCATGACACGGGGTGTGCCTGGCTCTTCCCAGGGTTGTTTTGGGTGGCACGTAGGAAGGAGATGAAGAGGAGGGTTAGGCCAGGCGAGAACCAGCAGAACCCTGGGTGAGAACCAGTGGAACAGAACGGCGTCACAAAGCGATGGAGCAAGGGCAGCCGGGGGACAGGACAGGACAGGTGGGACTGGGCTAGTTGTGTTGTGGAACTGGATGGAAGAGGTGAGGTGTGAAGAAAAGAGGCCAAGAGTCCTTCTCCTTGAGCTGGGGCAAGCACAGGCTCCCTGCGAGGGTGCTGGTGGCTTCCCAGCTGGCTTAGTTACCCAACGGTCCCAACACATTTGCTCCGCTGAGCTGGCGTTTCTCAGAGATGGCTGTAAAAGAGGAAATTTTTTCATAGGAGCCTGGTCTGTAGGTAGAGCTTTTTGGCAATGATTACTCTGCTGTTACTGATATTCAAAAGGAAATAGTTTCATAGTTGAATTTTTAGCAATTAGATGATAGAAAATGGTTCTTAGCCTGGGAGATCTCCAGAAATGGGCACGTGGTTGTGTGTTGTGCAGCTGAAGGGAAGGAAATGGCTTTTCTTGGTCTACCAAGATTGTTGAGGCTTCAGAATTTTCTCTCCTCCTGCATCAGGATAAAGAAGCAGCCTTCAAAAATTCAAGAATTGCCACACTTTTGAGCACGTCTGGGTTGTGCAGAGCCTGTGTCTAGAACTCTCTTCTGCCTAACTGGAGATGGAGACAGTTTGGTCCAGGACAGACTTGTGCAGCAAGAAACCAAACCTGCTAAAATTTTCTTAACGTGGCAAAATCTATACGGCAAGCAACCCGTTATATAAGTACCAGACCACTGAGAAAATGAAATATGTGTTCTGTAGGGAGAAATGCTTAAGAGAGCCATTTACAGCTGGTTGTAGTTTTTGAGTAGTTGTGTATGGAGTTGAAGACTGAGTGGAAATTTTTGGAATAACTCTTAATATCTCTAAATTATATATTTTACTGTCTTGGGAAGAGAGTGTGGGGGACAGAGGGTGTTTACTGCTGTGTTAGCTTGATGTGAATGTAGCTTACAAAGAAGATCCTGAAACAGCAGGAAAGGTCTCCTCAGGACAGTACCGGTTTCTAAAAAACATAATACGAGAAGCACCACAGCATTTTACATTTCCACCATTGTGGTTTTTTTTTTCCTGTTAGGTGGAAGTATGACTCCATTTTCTTGGGAAAAGTGAAGCATTGCTGCAAGGAAGCAATGGAGGAGATGAATGGCCAGTACCCAGGGCTCACTGGGCTGAGGAACCTGGGCAAGACATGCTACATGAACGCAATTTTGCAGTGCCTCTGCAGCGTGCCACCGCTTGTCGAGTATTTCCTCTCAGGAAAGTACAAAGCAGCCCTGCGCGAGTAAGTTGATATATTCACGCTACTTTTATTTTGGCTTTGCTGTTGTCCTTCCAAAGGATACGTGTTGCCATGAGAACCCCACCCAGGCACTTACAGTCAAATTGGCCACAAGCTGGTTTCCTTCTCCTTTCTCTGAGACCCTGAGTTGTTTCCTCGCTGGGTAACTTCATCATTATACTTTTTTTTTTTTTTTCATTTTGATGGTAATACCAGTTACTGTCATTGCTGTCTTGATGATGATTCTTGTTATTTTCTAGTATCTGCAGTCCCTCAAACCAAACAACAGGCTTAGAACTGTTCTGTACCTGTGTATGTTTTCTAAGTTGATGTATTATGTTCCTATTTGTAGGTAGAGCCACCATCTTTTCACACTTCACCTGAAACTTATGTTTATTTTTTCCAAGGGAAAATGGTGAGTCTGCGGCTGCGTTTGGCTGCTTGATGTCCAACATGTGGCTTGAAGAGTCTGACTCTGTTTCCCCAGAGGTTTTTCAGTCAGTCCTTGAGAAGCGGTACCCAACATTTAGTAACAGCACTCAGCAGGATGCGCATGAGTTTCTGATCTGCGTGCTGAACGAACTCCACGATGCGCTCAAGAAGGCAAGAGCTTGACTGTGCTGTTTTGGGGACTGTGGCTGTTTACTCTTTGCATCTCATGATTTAGCATTCCACTGCCTGTCCTCCTGCACCACAGGATGTGGCTGCTAAAAATCATAATTTTCTTCCTTTGCTTCATACCCATGTACACACAATAATTAATTTGCTGCTTGTCTAGTGCTTCCATCAAATTGGAGCCCCTATCTAAATGCCATTGCTCTCTGTAGCTCCACTATCCTCACTTCTTCTCCTTGCTCCTTCCACTTTTTACATTCCTCCCTTTTTTCATCTGCCTGAAATCTGTGTCATGCTCCCATGTCTGCCTTTCTCTTTTTCAGATTCACTGATAAAAGTGCTTGTCGAGCAGTTAAATAATTCCTGTCTTTATTTCCAGAATATTGTATTTTTGTTTAATTTTTCTAAGAAAAGGAATTTAGCTTACTTTACATGTAGGAAACATCAAGTATAGTAGTAGTGTTTTAAAGCCAAGTTCTGTAACAAGACTAACCACCAGCCTGCACAGGGAGTGGGCAGTGACCATTGAAACCCAGTGAAGGCACTTCTGAAGCAGCTGCTCACTTACATTTTGTTATTCTTTTTTTTCCTTCTGTATAGTGCAGCAAAAAAAGACGCATAACCAATGCGAAGGTGAGCAGAGGGAGTGTCAGTGAAACATCTATTATCACACAGTTATTTGAGGGACAACTCCGTTATGACATCACGTGTCTGGCATGCAAGACCGCCATCCATAGACCTGAGAGCTTCACCGTTCTTTCCCTGCCCATCCCTTCGCAGAGTGTGTGCTCTCTGCAGGTACGACGACTTCCAATACGGTCCTGCCTGCGTCAGCTTCGTGTGGGAAGAAGTGGCTTAGACTAATAGATGTTGTTAAAAAGATTCAGTTTTAGTTCCTTTGGTTTTCTGGGCACTAGTGGGCAGACTTTGAACTAGTCCTAAGAGAAGTGGGGTTTCTGTACTATCTCTGGACTGGAGAGGCTGGTCAGGTTATGGGAGCAGCACTCCTGAGCTGCCACGGGGTGAGGGCTCTTAAGATCGTTCAATAGCGACCGTGCAGGTTTCTTTCAGTCATCCAACCACTTCTCATTTGGGGGGAAAAAGGAAGCCAGTGTTGGCTGCTTGGTGTCCCAAGTGTATGTGTAATGTCAGCCTTGCTACATCACGCTTCAATTAGGAAGAGAGCTCCAAAACATAGCAAACTCTTTTCTTACCTTGCCTAGGATCTTTAGAGGTGTAGATCTGTTTAAATGATTTTTCTTTTGACAGGACTGTCTCAAATGCTTCTTTCAGCAAGACACACTGACTTGGAACAACCAAATCCACTGTTCCCAGTGTGAAAAGAAAAATGATGCTGTAGTGAAGGCCACCATAACCAAGGCACCGCAGATCATTATTTTTCACCTAAAGAGGTACAGTCTGTATGGCGTCAGACATGGCCATTTCCTGGGATTTATGAGACGTGAAGGCCAGTCACTTTATTTACCTAAAATGAAAAACGTCACTGCAAATGACTGGGTTTAGTACTTTTGAAAGCTGGAAGCACAATGGGCACTTCCAGGGACACATGTGTCAGACCTGCAAGTTGCATTCCTGAAATCTCAGTCAAGGTGTTCTGCCTTCTCTGTACTGCAGCCCACCAAATTCCACTCGGTCCTTTTGGGATCTCTTCTCCAAAGGGAACAGAGTGACTGACCACAGTCAGAGCAGCAGGCCCTGTGGTCAGACACCCCTGTGAATTCGAGTTCCTGTGGCAAGTGGGAGAGCTTGTGACTTGTGTTCTAAGTGCAGGACCAAACCAGCACTCTGCGTGTCATTACTGCAGCTGCAATAATGATATGCTGCACTTTTGTTTATCTCTTAAGTAAATCGGGTCTAAGGTCTACGAAACAGAGAGATGTGTCAGTGTAAGGGCTCCTAATTAACAGAATTCATTGCCCAGGTGCTGGCCAGATGCTAAATTTATTCTTTTCCCACCTGTAAAGACAAATACTCTGGGATGATTTGGGTTCACAGAATCACAGAATGTTAGGAATTGGAAGAGACCTCGAAAGATCATCTAGTCCAACCCCTTCTTGGGTTCCCAGAACTATGTTATATGAAGTTATTTAATTTCCTGCTAAGCAGCTGCTTTCCTTGACATGCTCAAGAGAACTCGTCCTCCCCAGCTGCAGCCCTTGGCCACATTATAAATATCTAAAAGTACAGGGTTGGACTGAAAGTTACAAAGGAGAGAGGGATGCAGCCTGGCATGAAAGAAGAGCCAACAATGGCAGCACAGTCCAAAATGCTGAGGACACAGTGAGAGTGATGCAGAAATTTGACTTCTGGCTGCTCTTGGCACCTGTGCCATTTCTAATAGACTACTGAAAGTAGTTCATAATTTTATTTCAGGTTTGAATGGCAAGGCAACCACAGAAGGAAGCTCTCGACTGACATTTGCTATCCACTCAGCAACCTGGATCTCTCTCCCTACAGTTCCCCACCTTCCTGCCTGGATGCAGAGTACAGCTTGTGTGCTGTAGTGGTGAGCTTTGCCTTCCCTGCTTTTATCTGTAGTGCCCTGCCTCGTGGAGCAGGTGAAGCCTGTGTTAATTTGGACTTGCATATATGATTTACATTTCCAATATATATGTTTCACACGCTTTTCTATTTTTTACCTGCCATGGCCAAATCTAGTAACTGTGTGTAACCAAAGATGAGAATTTATCACTTCTCTCCTTACCCCCATATCCCAATTTTAAAAGTCATGCACTCTAGGCACATGATGCCTGGTGGAAGCCTCCTCAGCCTTCGCAGCATAAACTGATCCTGCATGGATCTTGTTGGTAAATAAGGACTAAACAGTCTCTTTTTCTATCCATCACTCACTGCAACTAGGGCCAGCTTATAGTGATCCGTATAGAGCTAACAGCAGGGCTACACATGGAATATTGCAAAAGAGAGAAGCATAATTATTACCTCCTTGCTCTGTTTTAAAGCATTTATTTTAATTCACATTCCTTGCTGTAGGCTGAAGGGGGCTAGAAATCTTCTCTCCTGTCTTTTCCAAGTGCAGACAAACAAAATCATTACCAATTCCTAGCTTTGCCTGTAAGGAGAAAGAGCGAGCCTTCTCTTTTAACAGGCTGTGGCGTTTCTTGCAGAACCACAATGGTTTCCTGGATGGTGGCCACTACACGGCGTTCTGCAAGCACTCCATCACCAACAACTGGTACAGCTTCAATGACGTGCAGATCACCAAGATCCCAAATTCCTCGGTGCAGACTGACACAGCCTATCTCCTCTTCTACCGTAAAGACCTCTGCATCCACTAAAAATCTGCTAGCCCTGGAAACCAAATAGAGAGTAGGCCCGCAATTAGCATTCATTAGCAGCATTAGCCAAGTGCTGGTTCATCAATAAACTAGAGCATTTGCATAAGCCATCATCTGTTGTGGTCTTTCAGGAAGTGATCTCTAAAGAGAAGAGTTGCAGCTCCTGAGCCTGTTCAGAAATGTGCATCTGCTGCACCCGTACAAGCTCTCAGGGTTGCTTTCCATGCAAATCTCATCCATCCCTCAGGACACAGGTGTTGAGCATTTAGGTGCACTTACCTGAAACCTCCTGTCTCTCTGTCGGTTAAGGATATCCTGTTGGTTTCAGCTGCCTTTCAGAAACAGCCACACGATGCCAAGGTGAAAGCACAGCACCAGGCCACTGAGGGTCTGTGCTTCAGCAGAGGGTCAGGGATGAAGTGACTGTTAACATAAGAGAAAAAGTCGTTGTTCTAGTACTGTCATTTGTGTCCCTCTAGCTCTGCAAATGTGTCTGCAGCTTGTAAGCTTCTGGACGGCAATCGATCCCGGGCGTAATTCCATCAGCAAGACACGCACACGTAGACAGATAAAAGCTCAGAATATAAGATTTAGATTTTTGAATGCCAGCCTAACCAGGGAGGGAGAACTGACCCGAACCAAGAGCAGGGAAATGCACAAGATGCAACTAAAATAGTTTCTAAACTAATTTGTTCTACACAAAGTAGTATTTTTTCATCTGAAGAACCTTTAAACGGTGTGAATATGCTTTAGACTGTCATTAGGTAGAATTCTGACCATTACACTAGTTGAGAATGAAAACACCAAGCCCAAGCATACATTTAACAGGATATATTTTTAAATCATTTCTTCATTAAGGTTTTTAATGCATGTGTACATGAAAATTTATATTAAAAAATTAAAAAGGAAAATCTTGTTTGTTTAGAATAACTTTGAAGTGCACAAATATTGACAAAAGCTAACAGAAAAAAATACGGCTCTGCTCTTTTATTAAGTAGTCTTGCAATTACTTAGAGCTGGCAAATAAACACAATCCTCTGAGTTGTAGAGATTCTCACAAAAAGGACGACGTTTTATTATATACATAGTTCTGATGTGCAAGTATGCAATCAATATGTACACTTACATTCCTAACTGTTTACATCGTTCTAGAGTATTCACAGTAGAATCAAGCTTAAGGTTAGAAATGTGAAAAGGCCATAACAGTGAAAGAAAAAAATAAAACTCAAGATATGCCTTGGGATTTTAAGACATTTTAAACTACTTGTTAATAGATTTTGGATGACTAAGCTAGAATTTAATTTTGGAGCAGACTAAAAATATAGTTGTTTTTTAAATAAATGGTAATGCAAGTATGCTTCGTTTCACAGATGGCAGTATTACCACAAGCAGTATTAATCAGTCTTCTGATTTTTAAGCACTAGTATTGACCAGAAAGAGCTTGCTTGCAGAAAAGCTGCTGCAACCATCCCCGTATCTCTGAGTCTGTCAGAGTTTTGCATATTTATATGCATTCCCATACCTACTTTGCTCTTACAAAAAGAAAACCAGTTTGTTCAACCCATGCTACTTTATGTGGCCATATCTACTGCTCGCTGTTCATAAGAACTGTAAAAGAGAATATATGCAGCTGAGGATTTCACAGACGATGCCGAGATCTCCGATACTTCATGGTCGTCAAACTTAAACCAGCGTTGCTTTGAAGCATTTTTGCAGTAGGCTGTATAGTGCCCTCCATCCAACCCGCCATAATGGTTCTGTAAACATGAGACAGAAAGAATTAATGGCCTCGAAAGCTGCCCTTTCTTCCCTGGTTAGGGAAATAAACTAGAAGGGCAGATTTTTGCTTAATACCCATCATTCTTTAGAGAATACGGCTTAGTCTGCAACCAGGTAGGCAGCTGGGAAACCTCGATGAATCACACAGGCTAACCCAAGCTCTAAGGTACAGACAAGGTGAACTTCGAAACATGACGTGGTTACTTACTGATACTGAAAACAGATTGTATCTCTTCAAGTTATTCTTTGGACCAATAACATACTGTGAGAGGTCAAGAGTTTCCAATGGGAAATCTACAGAAGTCTGAAGCTTTTGTTTCCATCTTCCATCATAGGAAAATCTAAAGAATTAAAAAGTTACAGGTTCATTAAAAGTTACAGGTTGCTCATGAGGTATTTAAGAATATTAAGAATGTTTGTCTCCTCCGTTTTCAGCCAGGACACAATCTCAACTAAAGCATTTGCCCCCCAGTTTTGTTAATGCTTGCACATGTATTTGTCAGACAAGCAAAAAGAGATTACTTGTAAAAAATGCTTTGTGAACTACAGCCTAATAAAAGAGGCAACAGATGAAATTAAAATTCTTGCAACAGGACAACTGGAAACATGGAATGTTCTCTAAGTAGAAATGGTTAACTATTGCACTGGAACAGTCAATCTCCATCAAAGCCTGGTCACTTCATCCTAATTAATTTCCACCCATCACCGTTTCTCTTACCGTTTCAAGTGCACGAGGAGAACAGGTGGTAATTTCCAAATTTCTATTTTTTTCAAAGAATCCCTTCGAGTTTTGCAATGGCTACAGTAAAACCTATTGTTATCAGTGAGCTTCTCCTCTTTGGAGAACAATCTAAGGCATTCCTAAAACAAAACACAAACACAGACTGTTAAGGGCAGGTCTTTTTACAAAAGTGTAGCAAAAATGTTTGTTTCCTATTTGGTGGTTAACCCACACCAATTACCCGCATGCCTCACTGCACAAAAGTGATGCTGGGTTAAATCCATGCATGGACGTAAATTTTAGTGCATATATGGATTAGGGGCAAGTCCTTCCCAATATACCTACAATAGTTTGTTTACAATCACAAACTATTTACAATATGACCTACAAAAGCAAGTACTATATATGTATTTTCTGCTGCTGTGGCTTCAATATCTCCCTCCTGCTTGTATTTTAGAACATTTAAGGAATGACCTACTTTTTTTTAAACTTTAGAAGAATTAAAGAATAACGGAGATTCAGATCTGTTCATGTTTCAGGTTAGCGTAAATAAAGCTGGAATACTGACCAACACCTTCAAGAAGAGGCTGAGCAGAAGCAACATCACAATCAAGTCACAGAGAAACATTTTCACTTCAAGAGCTGTTTCTTTCCAGTTCCACGTACCTGCAGCGTACATTTACTAGTGGATGCAAGCGGTAATGATAAGTACATGAAAGCCTCAAAAGTTCGGGACTTCTTGTGACACGTAAGACACTGCACCGTAGATTTGAACTGGCCTTGAAAAAGTGCCACGATAATGGATTCATTGAGCTGCTTGTGTTTGTGCCAGGCTAGTTCTGCTGCTCTAAAGTCATCAAGATGATCGTTATTTTCTTCCTTGTATCTCTTCCTGTTGTCAGCCTGGGTAACAGAAATTGAAATACCACAGCCATGTATTGACATATGTAGATGTAGGAAGTCTCACCTATAGGCAAGCACACAAATGAGTATTTGCAGGAATACTGAGGCATGTCAGGGCAGCCAGCCATTTCTTACCTAGTTAGGCTTCTTCCATTACTCTTTTCAGTACCTTATACTGTCTGAAACTAATTTCCTACTTTGAGTACTTGAAATCCCGTCTATACAAGGTTCCAGAAACATAATCTTCTGATGAACTAAGATGATCTTTTAAAAAATCAATTTCTCTTGATCATCTGACAGATGTAAAATTTTGTTACAAGTGTATTGCTTACTTTGTTTAGGTCTTCATGCAAGCCATCCATTAGAAAAAGAAGCAGTTCTTGGGAGTCCTGTTGGCTATATCCTGCAAACTGGTCATTAATCTTCCCAATTGTAATTTTGAAGTCTTTTGGACTGATATATTTATACTGTCCTGTCCATAAAGCTTTCATTATTACACCAAACTCTTCAGCCACTTCACCTTTATGCCCCAGGAAATTGTACCTGTACAATTAAACAGACAAAAAATTAAATAAATAGTGAATTCTCCTTTTTCTAAATATGATAGTTATTAATTCAAGACCTTATCTCAATTTCAAAGTAATTTCTTTAGAGCAAGAAAAAAAGGCTGTTAGACTGAGATAAAATGTTTGTCTGCTTTGAAACTGTAATTTGGTTCCATAGCCAAGACTAATTGAGGGAAGGTACAGCTGTTTCCAGCTTGTTTTTTAAACTGCTATTTAAATACTCGGGTTTTAGGAGACCCCAGTACCCTTATATTTATCAACGTGGTAAGCACAATTTAATTAAGACTGTCCAGTAAAACCTATTTCATCACACAAATGAGTTTTGAAAATGTCAAGACTCTTAAAAGCACGTCTTTTACTTAAAAAACCCCAAATGTCCCTTAACCCCACTTTTTTTGAATTAACTATTTTAAATGCAGATTTTTTTCTTTCAATTTTAAAATAAAGGATGAGAATAAGAGTTTTACCTGTTAATATCATCTTGATACAAGTTTCTGTTAAAATACTCAGCCAGGTGAGGTGCATTGCACAGACACTGTAATATGGAATTCATATAGCAAGTGTTCCCTAGATTACGAAGTCCTGTAAGAGCTGGTCCCGATCCCCCAAACACAGGATTGAGATTCCGAATTTGTGATGCAGAGAGTCTTGAAATTTCTGCTTTTGTGTAACAGACTGGTCTGTAAGGAAGAAATTATTTTTTTAGGAGTCTCAGACCTGACAAGGCTGTGCAGGTAAGCCAACAGAACCACCCCCCCTCGCAGGGAATGAAACATCCTGGCACGAGGTGTCACCAAATGCTATCGTTTGCGCCCATCAGTGCAAAAGTGAGAAATCCATACACGCTGCCCTATAATGAGGCTGAGTTATTTGCTCCATCAGTTGGTTTTGGTTTGCTGGGTTTTTTTTTGGATTCACGGATGAGGAATTAGCTGTTGATTTAACCCAGCTTAAAAGCTGACAACTCTGCATTTCACAGGCTGACAGAAGACTGGCTTTTAATGTATTAACACAAATACCACCACTTAAAA